CCATGTGAAATGAAGAAATGTGAGGAGGTGAAAACGAAGTGAAAATAAGTTAAGATTCCTCCTCCGCCCCCTCTGCAGTTACTTCAGAGGAGGGGCACACTGTGACTTCACTTCATTATACCCCTCTAATTAAATGTGAACAGGACATCAAAAAAGGGGAAAATAAAAAAGAAGACAACAACTCCAGCATAATGTATATTGATGTTTATGTTGTTTAACTGCATTTAGGAAAGCAGTGTGGGAAAGCAGCTTTTTTTTAAATGCAGCAAAAGGTCGTGGGCTACTTACCCATCAGGGTAAGACATTCTGAAAGAGTTTGGCACTGCACTCAAGGACCAGAAGTAATGCTTTTATTTAGTTATTTATGCTTTTTTACTGGGTGCATTACTATGCTCCTCAGCAGCACATTGCTGGTAAGCGAAGGATGTGAAGATGCTACTTGGCAAACAGGTTATTAAAATGAGCAACTCACATTCAAAATTCATTTTTTTAGATTCATCATATTTACAGATGAATATGTGGAATTTAAATGTTTCCCCTGCTGCCTAAAGGAAAATGTGACTTTGTACAGCAACTGTGCATGATTTCATGTATGACCCTATGCTGGTGAAATGTGATACTCAAGTCGCTGCTTATGGAACCTGGAACAGGAGACAGTTTTTAATAATAACAAAGTTCAGCTTAATTAAGAACAGACTAGGCAAGTCACATGGGAGTATGTCAACATAGCACACGCATATTTCCTGCAGTACCGTCTTTGTCATATTTGCTCACATACAATAGACTGCAGAGAGTCGTTTGTTAGACTTGGTTAATGCTTAACAGGTTGAGGTTCAGGGTGATGAAGATGAGAATATAATCGCTCTAAAACCAATTGGAGGAAGGAAACCAACAAAGAACCCTTTCCATAAATCAAACCCATCCCCCTGCTGCCTCCAGAAAGGTACTGGCTCATGACTGTACGACTGTGTTTTGGGTGTTAAATAACAAGGGTGGCTGCACTGAGGCACTACGTTCATATTACATGTTGAAGTGACTCAGATCTGATTTTTTCCCTAAAGTGGCTCAAATCTGATTGTTTCATGGATACGTAAACAAGCCAAATCAGATTTTTTTTGTTATCAGATCTGGGCCACTTCCATATATGGTCCTAGATCCCATTCATATCTGATATCTGACCATGTGACTACTGTCAGAACGGTCTGATCAGAATTCATGTGGGTTTTATTTTCAACATCACACTCCTCTGTGCATATGCATATTACTTGTCATCATCATTCAGTGTTGACCAGTAAAAATAAACATGGAGGAGAGCAATAACAGCGAGAGGGGTCAGTGGAGAGATGAGGACACAGTTGCTGGATATTTATGGAGAAGCTGACCAAGACAAACTGGAAGGAACGTGTCATAAGCAAACAGTTTTTGAGGAAATTTCACAATTTGATCATCGCACAAATGAGGCAGAAAACTAGAGCAGGTAAACAATTGTTGCAAACATTCTATCTTCTGAAAAATACCATGGCCTACTGTGGGTTATTTATTAAGTGTGACTTGAGCACAGCACAGTAATTTCATTCAGGTGAATATCCTGCTTCTCTTAAAGCGGTCTGCTTCAGAGGAGCAGCTGCTGCTACTGAAAACCACTCCATTACCTGCAGTTATGCATTTCTATTTCTTATTCACTGTCTTGCAGATACATGTAGATATTCAGTGACTCATTTCTTGCATCCTATCGAGCAAGCCTCCCTGTTATTCAGGGTTGGTAAAAGTATGGAAATTACCACTGAAAGCTGCCTACACAAAAAATAATGCAAGGAAACAAACAAAAAAAAAGTCGATTAAAATATTCTTTGAATAAAGCCCAGCTAGTGGGGTGTTATGCCAATATATTGTCATCACAAATGAATCCTGCAATGCTTTTCATTGAATCTATAAAGAATGGTAAAACATATTTTGTATTATAGCTTTATTTTTGCTTGGCAAACACACTATAAGTAAATAATACATTCACACTTTTGTGCCCTTATTGTTGATAGCAGTTCCTAGTGAAACTGATGTTTTCAAGGGTAGATATCAAGTCAGCACTAGCAACTTTATATGGACAAAAATGTGATAATATGGCCCTTGAGAGAGTCTTACCTCTGTCCCTGATGGGGTGGCCCCTGGTGAATCCACCTTGCGTTTTTTGCGGGGTCCAATGGCGGCCAGTGCTGTAAGGTTGGCATCTCGCTGTCTCATCTGGGCCAGTTCCTGCTGTTGCATCTGGTGAAGACACAAGAATACAACAATTAGAAAATAACCTGACACTCTAAACTATGCATCTTCAGTGTTCCAAACACAAGTGGATAACTGAGGCACATGCATGTCCAAGGTGCCCAGCTGATAACTTGTGTTCAGATTTCATTACTGCTGTGACACTTCCGCTTAAATATCAAATGGCCACAGGTAGTTATTACTTCAATTTTTTACCACACAAGCACCAGCAGTTTCCCTAACCAAAGAAGAAGCAGAAGACAAGCATCAGATTTGTACATAGATGTATTAAGAAAGCTTTCATTGATGGATTTATATCAGACATTTCTCTGATTTGTTTCTTTTTTTTTTTAGCATTGGTGATCTCTCATCAAAACAACCACCACGTCCTGTATTCATGACATATTTTCTACAAATAGTCTTGCATCAGGGCACATTACCATTTACACTACAAAAGATATGTGGCCAAATGCATCCCAGACCACCTCAGCAAGTGGTGAATGGATCACAATCACCTGTTTACTTGATGGTTGTTTACACTTGTATTTAGCACTGTTCATTTGTGATCTGATCGCCCAAGATGCATCTTAAAACCAGGTGTAACTTGGACAGCCGAAGCACATCACAGTTTACACCTGTTTATTTGTGCTGCCCACTTGTGATCCGATCACTTAGGACGCATTAAGACGCATCTGAAAACAAACTGCAAACAGGGTGTATATGTAAACAGGTACTGTATGTGCATTGTGCTGCTCAGCATTCATGTGTTTGGGCTAATAAGTATGTCATCTATCGATATTCACCTCTGACCAAAATGCCCACCTAACAAATCTAACAATCTATCCGAGAGTCCAAATTTCCCAAACATTACATTTCTTCTCTGTATGTTAAAGACATTTTCAAGGCTCAACATGACAAACAGTTGTAGCCATTCAAGTGATCCCAACATGTGAATTGGACTCTTGGGGTATTTTTTACAGCCAAAACTGTCACACATCAGAGACCTGCAACACCCAGTGAGAATGAGTGAGTAATGAGACAAGAACAAGATCAAATGTAGAAATAAAAATATAGGAGAGTAAAAAAGAAAGATAACACTATTTTTCTGTCTGTACATCCATGTATTATATAAGCTTTTCCAAAATGGAAGCCTGTTGTCAGCCATTAACAGAGCTCCTGTCAAAGATCGTGTGTGTGTGTTTCAGTTTGTGTATAAAGGGGGGGTTGTGAAAAGGCACTGCCTGAGGTAATGTCATGTCTAGCCGCAGGGTTGAGGGGGAACCCAACGATGCTGGGAGCTGCCCTTTCTACTGGGTGGACGTGTGAGGGCCTGGGGCCATGGCACAGAGGGTGTCAGCACTCCCTCCAACATGCAAACACAGCATGTGCACGCACACACACACACATGCTTATCAGTCTTGGCCAGAGCAGAGGGAATGCCTACCCACCAGCTTGCCTATGTGCCTGCCTGCTGGAGGAGGGAGGCCTGTGTTGAAGCGAACAGGGACAATCAATGTGTGCTTTCATGTTCTTTTATGTTATCTCTCAGCATGTGTTTGCTGAGTGCTGGTGTTTGTGTGAGGCAAGTATGTTGTCTGATCAGGGGAAAATTTCATATTACCTTCAAATAGCACTCTTTAAAAGGTTGCTTTGGTGTACAAAGTCTGATCTAAAATGTGCATGCTGTTGCCTATGATTTTTCCTAAAACCCCACTGGCGAGGCATGCCCTTTAGGGTGTTGCCACTTCACATTTAGCATGGCAGAACTGTTGAACGATTCAAACACACGCACAACAAAAAGCAGGAGATATAGTAGCAGTAGTCCTAACCAAATGAATATCTAAACTGTATTTACTTGTCCTTTTTAAATTAAAGTAGAAATGGAAATACTGTAGTTATAAAAAATAGCAGAGCAATGCCATGGACAAGTCCATGAATTGAATTTAGTGAGTGGTGAAACAAGAGTCAGGCTCTTAGCACTATGCTAATGGAGTCTGGGGATCATGGCTGAATGTGGTGAACAGGATGAAGATGATTACTGCCACTGTCCACATGGCAAATGTAGCATTAATGTTATCAGTGCTAACCTTAATAGGCTTTGCCACAAACAGCACACAATTCTCTTGAGGCCTGACCTTAAAGAATCCAGCTGCAAAGTGAGCTTCAAGAGAGCTACAGAGCATAAAAGAGAGCAAGAAAAAAAAAAAGAGAGAGAGAGAGAGGTCCGCTATCTCACTGATTGCAGCAGGATGCCGGCATCTCTGCCTGGCAGTTGGCACCAGGCATAGGCTCCCAGCGCCCACAGCAACTCCCTGCATTTTCAGATTTATGACTATGATAAATGAAGACTTTATTTTACCATCTGCAACCCTCCAGCCTGTGTTTCCCATCAGTAAAGAGGGCGCCATGACACTGGGAGACTGATTTCTGATTTCGATCTGGAGCTATAGTGCAGTCTACCTTTGTGATACAACTGTTACAAGGCTTTGAAAGATTTATTTTCCTTTAGTAGTTTGTTTAAATACCATTTAATAACTTGTACAAATTTTGTGAAGCAGTATTAGTAGTATGAAGGAATGTGGATACACTTTGCTTTCAAAACAGTTTCTGTCCTTGGACTACTGGCCTGCACTGTATAGGGATTGTTAAGATTTTGATAGGAGGTGCTGGTATCATTCTCTGGTCAATTTTCTGTATATACCTGTTTTGGTGTTAAGAATACTATACCACAAACCTGTTTTTCAGTTTCTATGTGCTGTTTGACTTTTGCAAACCTTACAGCACTGGTGCCCATTTTACAGATAGGAAAGTTTGCTACATTAAATTATAGTAGTGTCTATCACTTGTGTCATCTTTATTGAAATGTTTGGATATTGCAGAGACAAAAAGAAAGAAAAACTGACCTCAAAGTATGAGTACGAGAATCTCTCACAACTTTCTGGACTATCCTGTCAGCACTGTTAACTCATACATTATATGTACAATCATCGCCAAAAACTGAAAAGGTCACTACAGAGATTCATCCCAGACTGGAAGAATAACCAGCTGCCAGGATACATACATTTGCCATGTCCGATCAATGGTACTGCATAAAAATCTGCTGCTCTAAAGTCTCTTAAATACCAGTGCTTCCAGTCTGCCTGTATGCCCTTTTGAAGCAGGTAACTGGAACTTGTAAAGTCAAATTAATAGCAAAGGTCAGGAGATGTAGAACATTTTCAGGATACCCAACAAAATCAATCTACAGCTTTATCAGAAAGAGGTTTTAGTCATGATGCAAAAAGCACAACATTAGGTGATTGTGTTATAGCCAATGTGAGACATTGGATGTGTATGGAAACACAAGTATGTACATTTCCTGGGAAACACTCAGTCGGACAAAGCTCTCTTGCAGGGGTTGAGTGTCATGTTGATACTATGGTGACAATATTTTTGTAATAGTAAACAAATATAACATCATAAAATATAAACATCGTCCATGACCATCCACTATCACCCACCTCAAAAACATTGTATCTTATGAATCTGAATGAAATACATTTGTTATTGTTGATAAATCAAGGTCTCAGATATAAAATTGCATATTTTTCTCAAATTATTCATGTCACGGAGTTGTGTCCTGGAAAATTCCTCATAAATCATATACATGACTAAGATCTTTAGTTTGAGGTCAATGGATGTTAGCATTTATCAGCAGCATATACAGTATGGCTGGCTTGTTTTAACACAGTAGCTGAATCAGTACATCTGGTGCCAACAAACTAAAAGGTGGGGCTTCATAAAATTGAAACTATATAATGTTATACAACATTTAATGCAATTTGTAATGCTAAATTAATGGTCTGAGCATATTATAATAATGACTACAAGCAAATCTAAACAAGAGCATGAAAGTGAAAATAGTCTAATCTTGATTTATTTACGAGTCAAACTCCAAACCCTGTACCCTTAATAAACTGGTAAAAAAAGTCAGTCAAGATGTAAATAAGAAATAAAAGGGCTTTGTATCAACACAGAAGAAGAGGAGTGTGACTCCTTATGATTTAAACATGTCTAAAATATGGCAAGAACCTTAGAGCAGTCTGATATGCTTAGAGTGAAGACAAGGAGGAGCTGCAGGGGCTGTGATGGCCAACCTGCCATTTTCCATCTCTGCTGTTTTTAACAAAGGCTCTTCTCTCTATCCTCCCTCCTCTTGGCCTAAGGGGCTGCTTGCGGCCCCCCAGACGCTTACAGACAGATGTCCTTGGTAGAGCAGAACACGCTCTGGTTGACGTCACAAGCATTTACAGGGCTGTGAAGGAAGCTAAAGGCTCTCTGCCCTGCAAACACCACAGTACAAAAGCCAGACATGCTTTTGAGTTGGTCAGATTCTTATCCTCCCCCAGCCAGTTCTGGTCCAACATGGCACAGCTGGAAGCTTCTCAGTACATAGACATAACATATGTCACTTCTGGTGAATGCTATTACTTCACCAAAGAGTCTTGGTAGCATTCATACATTTTAAACAAGGGTGGATGTGGGAATCAAGTCACTTATAATTGCTCTAACATTTGCACAGCTAATCTATGGGTTGAGCTATAGAGTATAATGGCAAGTGTTTATTTGAGTATGCTGACAAGAATGAAGCTGCATCTAAATGCATAAATAACTCATAAATAACAAAATAATTTTTAGTACATGGCAGAAAACCTATGTGTGGTCACATGGTGAGGGGAACTTTCTCAAGAGACAAACTGAGACATTCAAAGTGCAGTAAATACATTGAAAATAGTCACATGACTGCTGACATCTGCTTCACCAAATGCTGCATTTTACCTATATTAACTGCATAAAGCCTCATAGGTGTATAAAAGTTGAAATCCACCAAAAGATTTTGATGTATTTTCATACAAAATACGGCAATGTAAATGTATCAAAATACAGCAATTGTAGACCCTCTTTAAGAGAAAGTTCAAAGTTCAAGTTCAAAGTGTTTATTTGTCATATGCACAGTTAGGAAACATGTT